AGAGTCAAGAGCTTGCTCTGATACCACTGTTACGATAATTAGAATCTGAGAGAGAATTAAAGCTACAACTAAGAAGAAAATAAGAAGAAGCTATGGTTAGCTAAGAGAGATTTTATTCCGTTGCCCAAATAAGATAATTACAAAGGATCTTATTCACCCAGCTACCAGACAAAACATCCTAACAACTCTCAGAGACTATTCTATAAATACTTAACATTAATAATAATAACTACTAAGGGACTAAAGTGTATTCACTAGAATACTTAATTCTATTAACTAACTCAACGGCTAGTACCATCTTCAAAGCAGCTGGTACTACTATTTACATTATTCTTCGATAATCTTCATATTAGTCGATGCAACTAGATTTTCAATTTGTGATGTGAGAATCTAGGGGAGCTTAAGGCAAGTCAAAAGTATCCACTTTGTATGATAAGTTAGGATAAAACCGAATGACTAGAAGATAGGTTTACTTCCAAAGCTACATGCAATTTCAAATCTTGAATAAGAAATTGACCTTTGGAGAATATGTTAGAAATATACCACCTACTCCTGATTAGTGTTAGGCCCATTTTTTATTTCATTATTATTTGTATTGGGCTAAGACTATTTTTCCTCCTTTGTAGTTATGTTAACTGAATTGGGTTAGAGGGGAAGTGATTACGCCAAACTCTAGTCCTAAAAAGGATAAGCGATCATTGCAATATAATCCGGTCTAAGAGTCCGGAGTCGAACCCCACAGAGAACTAAGGTTTCGCCATAATTGCTCAATATCACTAAGAAAAGCTCGAATAAATTTCTAAGTTATAAAAATTAAGATTCTTATATCTAACTAATTAACTAAGAAACTAAAGCAGTAAATTAACAACTAAAGATACTGAGGGTTGGGGATTAAATTTAGGAGGTCTAGTGTTATGATTTCCCCAAATGTTGGAATCCTTCCCGCTATGTTCCCTACGATTTTGCCTATGTATTTTCTACTGATCGTGAGCTCTTTAGGTGCCGTAATTCTCTCTCGAGCAACTACAATAATTTACTAGGTATATTCTCTCTAACTACGCTAGTTGGCTTTACTTAACCGCTCATTATGACCACGTCAAGTCTTTGTTAATTCTAAACCTACCTTTAAACCTGCTGTATTGATTTCTCACATACGTTAGGAGTGATGTTGTTTAACAACCACCTAAATATGTATCCTTTCTCAAGCAACACAGAATAAATAGGCACAGTCAATCGATGGCCATTCAATCAACTTAAATAAGCACATAGTTGAACAAATAGACAAATTCAAAGGTTAAATTATATTAAAACATAGCAAGAATTCATCCTCCAAGAGATTCTATCAAAACCCTAGATAACAAATTAGTTACTCATAATAGTATGTAAAACTACAATACTAAAATTCATAAACAATAATGGAAATAGGAAGAAGGAAGTAAAAAACTCGTAGAAGAATTCTCCGCATTGCTCCTAGTGTGTTCTTGCCTCCTTAGGTCCAAAGTGTGTCAAAAGTCCTCAAAATACCATTTTTTTCATATATATATACCAAGTACGGTCGGGCCCAAATAATTATACCTTCTCCTACTCAAAAAATGACACTTTTTTCGGACAAAACGTGTGCGGCCGCGCACCTGGAAGGGTGCCCGCGCACATTTCACACTTTCTGCCCCATTTGCGCGGTCAGTGCGTGGCTGCGCACTTGCCGGAAAAATGTAAAATATGAAAGTTGTAGCCCTTTGAATTAGCTTTCCAACCATATATTGTGGATCCCAAATGGAGTTCTGAGCGAAATGTTATGTGCACTTTATTAGACAGTGCGCAATATGCCTACTCGATTCTTCGTTCTTTCTTAACTAGCATACGTTGATCCCCGAACATGATCTCATCTTAATTTCTTGGGTTTTCACTCAGACTTCAAAGCTCCAAATCACTTGACTTCATTTCATAACATCTAAATAGCTCGAAATCACTCATAGAAGGCATAAAACACACAATTAGTGCAAAACACTAGCGATTAAAGCTCAAACTCAAATAAAGTGCAATAAATTAGAGTGTAATAAGCGACTAAAATACGTAATTATAGCCTATCATCAAGAATTCAGGTCAAGTATATATATTGTTTGGGCTTCTCATTTGTAACAGACAAATCATTTCATTCTTTCAGCTCATCAATAATATCAAAGGCTCTTTCTCATTTGCTCTCAAACCCTACACTAAATCTAATCGATTTCACCTCCATTACTTCTGTTAACATGGTATCAGAGCATGAAATCTCGTAGATCCGGTGTTCCTCTTCTTCTGAGGTTACACTCGTCGGATTTCATCGCCGTCATGATCTCCGACGAAACTGACGGATGTTTACTGATCGAGCCATATTGTGGTTTTTTTTCTTCTTCACAACACAATGACTATCGCTTCCTCACTGATTATTGCTTCAAATATGTGTATCAAGGCCCAAACAGTATGTGTTAGGGTTTGTTGGTATTTTTTTCGATTTCAAGGCCGTACCTTCTCCAGTTGCGAGAAGAGTTGGTTTTCTCTTTCATTTTATCTTATTATCTTGTGATTCTTCATTAGGATTACTGTTGTTAGCATTTTGTCGGGTTTTAATGGCGGTAACTGCTACATCTTCGCCTTTATCTACTTCTGACACTATAAGTGATATCACACCAACACACACCCGTCTTCTTTTCCATCTTGACGATATAATCACCCTTGCCATCCTCTATATGTTCACCATTCTGATTTTGTAGGGGAGCTCTTTAGTCTATCACCCCTTTGATGGGACTTGTTATGGGAGTTGGCGACGATCTGTGTTGGTTGCCTTTTCCATTAGAAATAAGCTGTATTTCATCCATGGGACTATTGAGAAACCTCCTAAGGGATCTCCTCTCATGCGACAGTAGAAGAGATGCAATGATCTAGTTATTGCATAGCTTTCCAACTCTGTCACTAAGCAAATCCATCGTACAGTCGTGTATTCTGAATATACCAAGGATATTTGGCAAAAATTAGAGACTAGCTATGGGCAGGCTGATGTGGTTAGAGTTTTTGAGCTAAAGAAGGAATTAGCTCATATTTCTCAAGGTGCTCTTGACAATTCCTCCTACTTTAAGAAAATAAAGCAACCCTAGGATGAGTTGGCTTCTATTTCTGAGAGTAAGTGTATTTATGGTGGTGGTGTCAAGGCAGAGGAGGAGCAATATGTTTACCAATTTTTGATGTGGATGAATGATGTCTATGTTCAAGTGCGCAACAACAATTATGCTAAAGCTCTTCCCCTCTATAGATACTATGTACATCATTCTACTAAGTGAAGAGAAACAAAGACAAGTGCCTTCTACCTCTCAATTTACCTCAAAATCCACTTCTTTTAATGCTGGTACAACTAAGATTGTTTATGCACCTCGGGTGCATTTTGAGTCTTCAAAGTCTCTCATTTGCAAATTCTGCAAAACACCTGGACCTAGCATTGAAAAGTGATACAAGCTCCATGGTTTTCCACCCAATTTTAAAGTCACCAAGAATGTTGCACCTCAAAGAACATCTGCCAATGTTGCTATTGAGATCTCCTCTGTCTCAGTCAAATTTAGCCCTAGTCCCAGTAATGTACTTGCAAATGATGCATCTTATCAGCATTCTGGAGTGCCAAGGCTGACCAAAGAGCAATATTCTCAATTGATGCTGCTTTTGCAACAGTCTTATGTCAGCCCAGATCCTTCTCATTCTCTCGTGGCCTCTACTCACTTTGCTAGTAGGATTGCTACTCACAGTGTGTTACTTAAACCTGCCTTATTTTACAAGTAGATAGTTCAGCTTGGATTCTTGACTCTAGGTCATCTGATGATATGACTTCTCAAAAATATCTTCTCTTTAATCTACAACCTCTTACTATTCCTTGGCTTGTATCTCTTTCTAATGGATATAAAGTTAAGGTTACACTTACTGGAACTTTGACTTTGTTTTCCCAGTTCACTCTTCATAATGTCCTCTATGTTCCTACTGTTCAGTATAACCTTATTTTTGTTTATCAGCTAGTGGCACAATTTGATGGAATTGCTCAGTTTTCTAAGGCTACGTGTGTCTTACAGGGCCCTTCTCTGGAAAGCCACTGGTTTTTGGTAAACTGGACAAAGAGTTATACAAGCTGGACATTTTTAAGTCTGCATCCATGCCATGTTTTTTGCATTCTGTTGTTTCTTTTCCTATTGTTGATATGTGTTCATCTTCTATTTTTCCTGTTGAATCTGTTTGTAATTTCTCTCATTCCACTATTAATAAAATGGATGTTCTTTGGCATTTTAGACTAGGTCATTTACCTTTTTCTAAGATGAAGCTTATTTCTGCTATTAGCTTTTGCTTTTCTCCTAAGCAATCTTTCCCTTGTTCTATATGTCCCTTGGCTAGGCAAACTAGGTTACCTTTCCCTGATAGTTCCATTCAATCTTCCTCCCCATTTCAATTAATACATGTTGATACTTGGGGTCCTTACCATTCCCCCACATCAGGTGGTGCCAGGTACTTCCTCACTATAGTTGATGATTGTACTGGGGCTACCTGGACCCATCGTCTTGGTTCTAATAGCAATGTTTTTGACCTCCTTAAAGCTTTCATAGCCATTGTTGAGACCCATTTTTACTTTAAAGTTCAAACTGTTAGGAGTGGCAATGTATTAGAGCTGGGCTCCTCTAATTCTGATTCCAAATTATTTGCTGAGAAAGGCATCATTCAACAAACTTCTTATCCCCACACTCCTCAACAAAATTGTGTAGTTGAACGGAAACATAGACACTTGCTTGAAACTGCAAGAGCTTTGCTTTTTTAATCCAGCTTGCCTACTTCTTTCTGGGGTGATTGCATTCTCACTGCCACTTATCTTTTCAACAGGTTTCCTTCACCTCTACTCCATAACAAAAGTCCCATTGAACTCCTCTGTGGGAAGCCTCCTTCCTATAGCCATCTGAGATCGTTTTGGGTGTCAATGCTATGCCACTGTTCCTATGGTTCATAGGGACAAATTTGGGGCTAGGTCTGTCCCATGTGTCTTTTTAGGCTATTCCTTTGCTAAAAGGGGCTATAAGTTGTATAATCTTGTTTCCAAGTCTTCATTTGTCTCGAGAGACGCTATCTTCCATGAGACTATCTTTCCTTTTGCCCAGCCTTCCTTCACTTCTTCTACTATTTTTCCTTCACAGTCCTCTCCTGTTGATGTGTTTCCTTCTGCACCTCCCTCCTTCCCTTCTTTTGGTGAGGCAAGAGATGAGGTTTTTCCCTTACCTTCACCTTCTCTTGGTGATCTTTCTCCTTCTCCCTCTTCTCCTTTTTCGGATGCTTTGCCATCATTTTCTCATTCTTCCTCTCCTTTTCCTACTCCTTCTACTTCTCCTCCCTTTGTCAGGAAATCCTCAAGACCTCACAATCCACCAAGCTACCTCCAGTACTATGTTTGTCCTCTCCCTTCTTGTTCTAGGCCTTGTACTTCTTTATTAGCTGTTGGTGCTCTTTCTTTCTTTGAACCCCAGTCTTACTCCCATGTTGCTCCTGTCCCTGAATGGCAGGAGGCTGTGAGGAAGAACTATGTTTGTTCTCTCCCTTCTTGTTCTAGGCCTGGTACTTCTTTATTAGCTGTTGGTGCTCTTTCTTTCTTTGAACCCCAGTCTTACTCCCATGTTGCTCATGTCCCTAAATGGCAGGAGGCTATGAGGAAGGAATTTAAGGCTTTGGATATCAATGGAACATGGTTTGTCATGCCTTTGCCTCCTGGTAAGAAACCGATTGGGTGTAAGTGGGTTTACAAGGTTAAATATATGGCTGATGGCAGTGTTGAGAGGTTTAAAGCTAGACTTGTAGTTAGGGGGGACACTCAAGTAGAGGGTGTTGATTTCCAAGAGACTTTCTCTCTTGTTGTCAAGATGTCTACCATTAAAACTTTGGTTGCTCTTACTGTTAAAAGACAGTGGCCACTGTTTCAGCTTGATGTCAATAATGCATTCTTGCATGGGGACTTGGATGATGAAGTTTTCATGAAGCTTCCACCTGGTTATTTTGTTCCCTCATCATCTGGCTCTGACCAATTGGTGTGCAAGCTTCAAAAGTCCCTTTATGGCCTGAGACAAGCTTCAAGGCAATGATATGCTAATATTTATCAAGCCTTCACATACAGAGGCTATTGATGTTTGGCATATTTCGATATGTGTTGATGTTACTTTACCCATGTTTTAACCACTACTTGATGTTATTTGATCTTTAAAATGCCCAACATGGTTTAATTATTGGTTTTATAACTAATTG